TTCCGATTTTGACAAAAGAAGTGGGCTCTCAACTAGGGTTTCAGCCAACTTGGGGTTTCCTTCCTCCTCCAAACTTCAGAATTTGGGTAAGTCTTCTTTTCATGGCTTTTATTCCCTTGCTTTGATTCTAGTTAGTTCCTCATGCTTTGATTCAATGTTTGAAACCCTAGTTCTTGGATTTAGGCAAAAACCGAATTTTGATTGGGTTGTGTGATGGCCGAATTTTTTACTGTTCATGGCCGAAAAACTTTGTTGAGTTCTTGGGATTGATGGTTGGCCGACTGATTTCTTGTTGAACCTGTACATGGCCGAAAAAAATCCAGGTTGATATTGGCGGTATGCATAGCCGAATTTTTTCCTTTTTGAGTTGTATTAAAATACATTTTTTTAGTATGATGCATCCTTAAGATCATAATTTTCCATATCAGGTCTCACCAGAATTTCTCCCCGACCATGATGATTTATTTATGCTTTATTAAATATACATGATTTACTCAGTTCCACTTCAAGTCCACAATGAGATTGGTGCTGCACGTGCCCAGGACATGCTAAGTTGTCATTCTCTTGCTGTTGAGGCTCTCCATGGAGATTGAATTGGAATTTTGTGCATGACTTCTAATTCCACATAATCTTGGAGCGACTGTAATTTCTCTTCTGTGCCAGCAGTGTTATTTAGACCAAGATTGTATGCAATCTTGTAACCTGATAAAAGCTTTTAGAGATAACAAGATCCCCCTCCACATTTCACCACCAACGTGACATTGACGCATCATCCAGCTGGTTTTCTTTGGTTTGTCACTGTCTGACAGGCTCATGTATAGAACTATAATTGTTTTCGAACCTTTCTGAACTCCATCTATGCACACTGGTTTAGTCTTGCCAATTTTATGCTAGCAAACATTGCCCAAGTCACCATTCAGAATTTTTCTAGGCATTTGCCTCTTATTTTTGTGTGCCTTAAATGATTTATGGAAAAGATAGAACAAACTTCCCTCTTTTTTTTATGCCGTGTAGTTTGTGAGGAGATGAACAAAAAGTTTGATTATCTGAAATAATGAATTCATCAATAAAGGGATGAGACTGTGAGCTTGTGAGTCAGTATGTTGACATGGCCGAGACCTTATATTTGACTCTGTGACACTCAATTTGAGCCGAGAATGTCGCATAGGCTTAATTGGACCCTTAACTGGAAAATTCCATTTTGTAGAATTTCAATTAAAGATTCGTAATTTCCTTTCTAGTCTCTGATTCACGTATCTTGATTCTTGATCTAACTGAGCTGTTGGTCTTTATTGCAGATTAGCTATGTCGACGAGGAGATCGCGCCTCCTGAGGAGCCGCTCAACCACTCAGTCACCTGAGAGGGAGCACTTGTCTTTTACGGGTAAGCCCTTGTAATTTCTGTTGATGGATTCAAGTTTTTTTTAATTTTTTTATATCATGCTGCATATCGCATACCCTCTCTGTCCTCCTTGGTGAGGTAGTCAGGAAGAGCCGATATCCTCCTTCGTGGGGGTGGACGCTTCTATATTACATCCTCGCTCTGTTCTCCTTGGTGAGGCAGTTGGGAAGAGTTGATACCCTCCTTTGTAGGGGTGGACGCTTATCGGATACGTTTTGCTTGGTCAAAACGCGTCTCAAGGCCATATGGGGTGATTTTCTACCGTATTACATTCCATAAGATAGGGTACATCACCGCGTCATTTGCGTGAAGATGTACGTTATCTTGTGAATTCGTAATACTGCTAAAATCGTCTCGCCAATTACAGTCATTTGCGTGAAGATGTACGTTATCTTGTGAATTCGTAATACTGCTAAAATCGTCTCGCCAATTACATGGCGGCGACTCTATTTCACTGCTCGGTGAAATGAATTCAACCCCCTGTATTGTATTGATATTCTTTCATGATTGTGTTTGATAGACACACATTACTTGTTTCAGTTGAATATCCTGCGATGCCGTTTTCTCCATATGATATAAATGGCCACAGAAGCAGATATTATGTCGCCGAAGATAACTCATTGTCGATTCCTTCCACTCCTCAATTTGCTTTGGACTTCCCTGATGAGCTTTCCAAGTTGGTGCGGGAGGGGGGTCATCGCATCATGCGTTAATTAATTATGGACGCGCCGTTCCCTGAAGACACAAATCCTGATCATCCTTTAAGAAAGACCCATTATATGTTTGGGGATTCTGTGATGGATCCAGACGCCATAAACCTCGAGGAGGAACGGTGGTTATACAATGAGGGCACAACTTATTTATACCTCCCTCCATTCCCTCGCCATCGTTCGCTAGCCGACTTGTGGGAACAAGCGGTGACGTGACAAATGCCGTGGATTCTGACAGAAGAGCACACCCATATTCCTTGTGGATATGTCACCGGTCATTCACTTCCAGGTTCTACCGGTAGGAAACATATTACAGGATTAATTCCTTGTGGATATGTCACCGGTCATTCACTTCCAGGTTCTACCGGTAGGAAACATATTACAGGATTACAACCTGGCGTAGTGGGGTTGGAGGAGCCACCTACAGGGGAGATACCTATAATAGCTCGCACCATGAGGGATCGCCTCGCTGAACTAGGACGAGAGTTACCTATTGAAAATTACAGATGCTTTGGTTGGTCTCATTCCTCAGACAAAGCATGGTGGGGCCGGATGACAGGATATGTCCTTCACCGGTGGGGTGCTGAACTGAAGTTGATAGGATTGTATGAAGCTATTCGCGCCACTCAGTACGGGTTACCGGTGAATGCTATCCATTTCCTAGGATTAATAGAGCTATATAACCCCGATACCAACACCTTTCTTACCCGGAGCGGGGAATTTGGGTTACCCTTCCATAAGATGCACAAAGTCTCCAGACTTCAAATGGGAAATATCCCGTATCAGGAATATTTTCCCTCAAACCGGGAGCTACAACAGTTGAAGATTCACAAGCCTGCCCGATACGACACGTTATGGGAACTCACGTATCATTATCAGATTGCTCTAGCCGGAACTAACTCTGTTGCGAGGAAGAAGTCTCCTCAAATAAGTTTGAAGCAATTCTCGTGTTACCTGTTTAAGAATTTGGAGAAAGCCAGTGAAACTATCCGTGAACTGGAACCACTAGCCCGTTCGGAGATTGACAAGCTAATTAAAAAATGCAACGCTCGCTCTTACACCATTGCGAGTGCCCAAGACCGATTTTGTGTAGGAACCAAGTTCAGGACTTTTTTATTGCAAGCGGAGAAATCCATCCATCCTAAGACCTTGCTGTTCACGGGAAAAATCGTTTTCTTTATTGATGATTCCATTGATTACTTTGTTAACAGTTTATCGGTTACAAAGATCCGGTCTTTTTATAAGATCCGGTTACAACAAAATCAAAAGAAAAGAAAATTACAACTTTCCTTATTTGTCGAACGAATCGCGAGCTCCTGTTTTGCGGTCACTCGTTTTTGTGGGTTCTTCGCCTGCGCCGGGGTTAATCCGCGGACCACCGCGCGATCTAGATCCGGTCGGATCTACACGGTATAGTGGGTGTTATTTTACAAAGGAAATAACAGACGAGGGGATTATTTCACCAAGGAAATAATAGCCCGTAGTTATCGAAATCGACCAAGCGAAATCGAGACCCTTCACCGCGCCTCCCCAAGCTCCCCTCACACCCG